AAAACAAACCTAATAAATGCAATCAAAGGTGCCAAACAAGCACATTAGAAATAAATAAATACAAAATATTGTGGACCAAAGTCTGATCCTCATGATGCAAACACCCATACCGCCGTGACTGCAGATAAATTCTTACAACCTCTCAAGGTTTCTCCATCTTCAACATTGCATAAACTTACTTAACTATAACATAATCATCTGTGGGATTATAAATTTATATTTTTGATTGAAATTTTAATGTTTGGTATTAATTTATCCACTTTCACAGTAATCAATGACGTGTTTGAGTTGCGTTAATTAAAAACCCGATTCGTATTTTACCTTGCAGTGTTTTCTCTTTGCCAATACGTTTGGAATAGGACAATTATAATTGTAATCATATGTGGATGTGTGTGAGAGTAAGCGTCACATAAGACGTTGCACTGCAGCATGTTCTATTTATTTTCAATGTGTGTGGTCGGCACCTCTGATTACATTTATTTGTTTTTAATCTCAAAATGTATCACCGGCAGCATTTATTTTATCATGTCTCTTAAGGTCCATGTTAATGATGTTTTTGCTGTAAATAAACGTATAATAAATTATTAACAACCAATCTAGTTACAGCAATATAAACAGCATAAAGCTATGATTGTTATAAACGTTTTGTAAATATTCATTTTTATAAATCATAATGGATGCTAGAATTCAAATTGACCAATCTGGAAATGGTATTGTGACATTCATGTTAGTTTTAGTTAATATGAATGAGATTACATTACAACTTTATCCAATCAGCAAGTGTCTTATTTTGAATATGTGAGTGGTCGCAGCTGCTATTTTACATAAAGGGATGCGCCTACATAATGTTTAGCCAATCAGTAGTGAATATGTGAATTAGAAGTACAAAGTTTTACAAATACATTTATAAGGAAAGCCTTAGTTTTGCACCTCTCACTGTATTCTTTAAATTCGTTAGAGAGTCTTTAATTGTATAATTAAGGTAGAGATGCAGGTTCGTGGGCATTTAAGAGTGAAGTTTGTTTTTGGCTTTTTATTATCCAAAAAAAGAAACATGGTGAAAAAATAAAATGACGGGATCTCCATATTATGCACTATATTTAACTTTTAACAAAACGATAATACATTTAAATTTGAAACGGCTAAAGCCATTTTAATTATGAGCATTAGCAAACGTCTTACTGAGTGAATTGTTATGCAAATTAGCAATTATCTCAGCTTCTTTTGAGTGCACATCCCAGAACTTTAAAAAAAATTGCTCCTAGACGCTTTGACCTTTTGTTTTGAGATTTCCACAAATGATTGACAATGTGTTTATCTTCAAAATGCCGTCGGGGCATTGTTTTTGATTGAACAGTGTTACAACAATCGTACAGACAACTAGCCCGGGTGTTAATTTAACTTGAAGTAGTGAAATTTGAGCTGCCGCCCTGCAAAATTGACAACTGGTAGACAATTTTCAAGACGGCACTTTCTTCATAGTAAACAGATGTACCCATATACCAATTTTGACAGGAAACAGAAGCATGGTTTAGAAGCTATTTTTTTTAAATCACTTTTGACCAAAAAAGCACATTTTTGTGCATATTTCAAACTACAGTATCCATAGAAAAAAAATTAAATTCATACAATAAGCTTTCCGAAAATATATAGTTTTGTGGACAAGGGAGGTCATCTTGGTTCCCTAATTAACTAATTAAAATACCAGGTCAGGTAAAATGCATCTCTACCTTAAAACTAAAATCTATTGGTCAATCTACTCTAGGGGTTACACAATATGAAGAAATAAACGTGTTGTTAATGAATCTAGCAATGACCACTGTATCTTAATTTAAAATATTACACGAGCTAGAAGTTAACTTGTCAATTACATCGTTTTGCATCATTTCGAGAAATGTAATGACAACCAACAATGTATTACAAATTAAAAAGATTACTCAGATAACAATACTTATCATTGCTACATCATCATTCTGACACAAACCTTCCAACTTTAAACATCAAAGTGCACGTACAAAATTATACTTTCACTCTTAAAATTAGGAAGCTTTTATGGATTAAAAGTTTATTATTGGTAAAAATATAGTATCTAAAATGTCATGTCAAAATATGTTTTTCGGTTTTGTCTCTGAGAAACAATCCTATGCACTTGGTTTCTTGTTCTATTTTAAGCTTGTGGTTAGACCACTCACGATCCAATAATATATGAGCTAATTATTGTGCCATCCATTCATATTCATGATTGTATATTTGTATAATATTGCCTTGATTTTCGTATGGCTCAATATAGGTTTCGGTTAAAATAGAAGTAGAAATTCTAGAGTAAACTTGAGATGTTTTTGTAGCAACCACTGATGTTTGAGACTTGACAAATCATGAAAGCCATTCTGAATTCGACAGAAAACATGATACAAATTGGGTTTGGTGATTTTAATAAAAATTTACATATGGGAAAATGTAAATTGACAGTAATTTATACTGCATTGTGTAAAGACAATTCCCTGTTCAAAGGTTAGTAGTCAAACGATGACATCACATGTATAAGTATATTATTCAGGAAAACCATTAAACAAGATCACTTTATACTGTTAGGCTTTTTAACATTTTAATCATGACTAATAAAAAAACATTTATATCAGTATCCTTATAACTTATAATACTGACATTTGAATTCAATGATAATAGACCAAGACTAGTTTGTAAAATTGGATGTAAAGAGAGTGAATATAATGTAAATTTATTCAAACAAAATTTTAGAAATGTTATCAAGACAGGAAGCCAAAAGTTAAATTATTCTATTGCATGTGTTCATAGCAGTATAAACACTTCCATGTATAACACAATGCCATAAGAATTAACAGGAATGATGGCTGTATGCTGGTACCTGCACCACAGTTACTAGAATCCTCCTGTAATACAAAGAAACAATTATTAAGCATGGATGGTTTTTACTGCACTAACAAACCAAGATTGTTCTGAAAATAAGCCAACATTAAACAAATTACATTCAAGATCTCATTGGATGTTATTAATATTATTTTAAAACATGCACAGAATGACATCAAGTAAGGGTGTCATAACCAATGATATAGTGATTTTTGATTTACGGATAAATAAAACGAAATTACATTAACGAATGTGACTGATAACTTTTACTTTGAAAACCTTAGCACCCCGTAGGCAGGCCAGTCACCCTGGTTCTTACTACAAGAGGTTATGACCCCCCTGCCAAATGCTAAGGAGAACTGAAACATATATATACATATTTACATGAAATATTGTCCACTTATGCGATCTCTTTGAGTAGGAATTTTACGACCGTATGCATTTACTGACGTCAACCCAACTTATTATGTGGGCAGTTGGCACGCAAGGCTTACAGGTACTACACCCTGCCCAAGGGTGACTTGGAGGTAGTCATTTTCCCAAGTCCGTAGACTCCACAACCGGATGTAGTTTAAAATCTTACCCAGGACAAATATATATATATATATATATATATATATATATATATATAGTATAGTATGGTATATTTTATGGTATATTTTATTTCACCCAATTAATGAATGACAAATACATTAACCATGGTCAATAATTATACACAAAAAATACAATAAAACGAAATACAAATATAAAAATAAAATTTTAAAATGAATAACACTAACAACAATAAGTTATTACATTGTTAAATATAAACTAAAGGTTTTATAACCAATGATATAT